TGTATATATCGGTTCTTTTCTTACTATATCCCTGTTGGAAGTGACTGAAACCTATTATGATAATGATCATGATTATGATGATAATAAACAACTGGAGTGCAAGGTATCCCTAAATATTTAGGAGAGACAGACAATGGATGGGTCTGATGACCCTGTAGCTTCTCAGGTTTTTATCAGATGTGGCAGTGGAGGCAGGATACTGGGTTGAATGGTTTGCATTCACCTGGCAGGAAATATTTCTTTATAATAACTTTGGGCTTGACAAAACTTTCACTTGAGTTTTGTACACTTTGCAAATGTTGCCTCGAGTTATATTCATTTAAAAGGATTTGTTTGTTTGATTTTGCAACTAAAAATTATTAATTTTTAATGGTTTTGGGTTTTTAAATAAAAGAGAACAATGAAAACACAACTTCCAAAGCCAAATACAATAGAATAATTTATCCAAAATAGCCAAGGGAGGGTAACCAAAGCATTCAGATGATTATATCCAAACTGAAGAGTGCAAGACTGCTATTGACCGAGTGTTGCATTGGTAAAGAGAAAATAACAAAGCGTCTGATACAACTCCAAACTTTTTTCAAAGAGGGCCAGATTTGATGAAGTGAAGGGCCAACCAAAGTTGCTGACCTTTTCTTTTTTTAGGATTGAGGTTGATGAGCTTTGAGGTTGATGAGCTTTTTTTAGAATTTTACCCCAAAGTTTTGAGCTTTTTTTAGGGTTGGAGTTGACCAGGGATCAGAGGGCCGCATTCGGCCCCCAAAAAGCACTTGGGACATACCTGCTTTAAGACCAGCAGATTTATTGTGGCATAAAGTTTGGTGGGCAACAGCTCATGCCACACAATGCATCTCTTGAACATTAAGGTGCCACAAGACTTTAGGATGTTGCAACAAAAACAACTAATATTAAAGCTGACTAAGTGCTACATGGAAGAGATAAGTGAGTTTAGATAAATAAGTGTTTTGGGTTGTTACATTGCATATATATACAGTGGTACCTCGCAAGACGAATGCCTCGCAAGACAAAAAACTCGCAAGACAAAAAAACTCGCAGAACGAATTAATTTCGTCTTGTGAGGCACCACTGTATGGGGTTGTGTTTTTTCCTAGCATGGGAGTGGGGAAAATGTTACAGTTCCCAGAAAAAGCACAAAGTTAATTAGACCGCAAACTCCTGCGCTTCTGCCTAGCCCCAACTTTCCTCTGTTTCCAGTTTGAAGGGAAATTAGTGAAGCTGTAACTTCTGGCCTTATCACTACACAGAGCAGAGAGAATTACCTCTCCAGCAGAAGGTGTGCTGCTTCTGAACCCTCCTGGGGTTTTCACCCCCTCTAGCTGACCTGCTCTGTTGCTTGGGCTTGGCTTCAGAAAGCAGCAGACAAGACGAAAAATGACTTGAGTTTGGCTTTAATAGTTTTGTGGATATTTGTGCCACCAATGTTCTCTCCCCCCCCCCCCCGCCATGGCTTAGCCTGCCTTGAAAGTAGAGGAAGAGAGGAAGGGTAAGTGGATAATGGGACTTAGTGGAGATAATGGGCACTGCAGTGTATTTATTTGTTTTGGTGGTGTGTTTTCCCCCTCCTGAAAGTCTTGCTCTTTACTCTAATTCTTTTAATGTCTATCACTTGCTGCAGTTCGCTTGCACTGGTTGTCCCAATCCACAAAACCAGATTTCCCAAAGTCCGTGCATAATAGTTTTAAGTCAAGTCCGGGCCCCATGCTGAACCTTATGAGGTGGTGGCTGGCATGACAGAGTAGCAAACCAAAACTACAGCACTTGTGAGAATGCCTGCTTTCCGCTTTGGATGGGGTTGGTCTTTAGACCCTCTTTATGGGCACATGAACACCTCTCCCGCCAACACACAGCTGGTGTCTTTCAACAAAAATGAATTACCCTGGGAAAACATGGGCCTGCTGAAACCATACTGGAGGAGTCGTGCAATGAGTTCTGGTAGTCATCCAGTAACAATTATGCCTGAATTTATTATCCCACCTCTTCTGTGAATGGGTTATTGGATTCCACTTGGACTTCATGTCTTGGGTTGTCCTTTGAAAAAGATGCTTGGCCAACGCTTTCTGGTGTGTTCACAGGATGATCTCAGAAAGCAATTGTGGAAGCTCCAAAAGTCTTGCTAGAATAACCTCACAAACTGGGTTCCTGTGATCCATGGAAGAGAATGCTGGGACTTATTTGTGGCAGATGCCCATTCCTCTAGCTACCAAGCGACTGACATGGGGTAACCACTGGCTTCTGTTGACAGGACTGTGATTTAGGTGCAAGAGGATCAGGGTGTAGATGCAGTGGTGTGGATGGGATGCAATGGAAGCTTCTTCCCAGAAGCTTAGATGATGTTCATCCTTGTTCAGCCAATCACATCTCCATACTTCTTAATTACCTGCAGTAGGTACAAGTTTGTTCCTGGGTTCCCTTATGCTGGGCTTGGCCTCTTAAAATCCTAAACCAGTCTTAAAAACATCGGGAGAGCATCAGGGATATACTGCAGCAGACTGTGGAGGTTCTATTTAGCCCTTATGACTTAGCATTTATGTATTTATATCCCACATTTTCTATAAGGAGCTTGAGATGGTGCACATGGTTCTCCCCACCCCCCATTTAATACCCACAGCAAAGAAGGTTGCTTTGGGTAGTTTAAGCTGAAAGGCAGTGAGTGAGCTCCATGGTTGAGTGGGGATTTGAACCCTGGGCCCTAGGTCCTAGTCTGACACACTAACCACTATGCCACACGGGCTCTCATTGGTAGACCTATCCTCAGAATGTGTCTAATTGCCTATACCTCTCCCCATGCCTTGTGCCAGTGGAGTCCACCAGTTCATTTATGCATTGTGTGAAGAATGGCTTTGAATCAAATTTTCTTCCCTGGGTTTTTGAGTTGGTCATTTCAGCTCCTGATGGGCCAGCGAAGGCAACAAGTTAACTGTTCTTCAGTCACTCAGTGCAAGCCTCCACTCCGGCCCTTTCTCTTTCTTCCGCCTGTAGTGGTTCCCTTCTCCACTTCAGCGATCTAAAGTGGCCTGGCCATTTTTATTGTTTCTCTCTCTCTTAAAGTGCTTAATTTTTGAAATGAAAGGTGCTGGGACTCAAGTCCATCTGGAAGATGCAGCCTTTGCCCTCCTCTCCCAGCCTAGTCCTCCCTGGGGTTGATAAGACTTGTAACATCTGGAGGGCACTGGGTTGGAGAAGGCTGGTGTACGTACACCGTGCAGAAAGGAAGGAAGCCTGTGCCTGTGTGCTCCACATGTCACCGGTGCTGAGCAGCAGCACTGCAAACAGGTTCCACGGCTAAGTGCCAGCCTTGGTCTACATAAAGCCCTGGGGAAGGGGAGGAGAGGGGAGAGAAGCAGCCATTAGGCTTTGTGGGTGCTGGGTGTTAAACACACACACAAAGCACCATTAACAAAGCACCATTGACTGCTCCTGCACATAATCTGCATACCTAGCGGCCCAGTTTTCAGAAAACATAGCATCACCTTAATGCACTTTCATGCCTTTAATATTTTTAGTGTGCTTATGTTTTCATGAAATGTGTACTCTCTGTAGAAAAGTGAAATATACATCTATTTACCGTAAGTATTACATGCTCTCTATGTGCATATATATTTTCCCTGGTCGCAGACATGCATTTATTTTCAAACCTGTGCACCTACACAGGCCACATTTCTCAGGTCCCATAAAGGACGGATTCCTCACTTTTGCACTCTACCTAGCCTCTAAGGCACACTCGTTTTGCGCCATTATGTGCCGAGCTTGTATTTGTGCAGATGGATAGAGAAAGCATGTGTGTGTGTGTTTGAATATCGCACCAACAACCTTCTCACATAGCCATGTGCATAATACACTTTTACCATTAATGACCGTGGAAGCACCCCCAGGCACGGATCCCAACATTTACCCGACATCGCTCCCACGAGCGTTTCTCTCCCCACCGCGACACAAAAGCAGGTGCTTAGACACACTCGCCTCTACACACAGCGATTTCCCTCTCGCGTGTAGCCAAAGCGCCCCACCGTGCTCCAAGACTGGCACACACTTCAGCCTGCTTTCTGCCGCTTTGGCACCCGTCACACACGCATCCGAGGCTCGTCGTGGGAATCCGCGCCACCCCACCCCCCGGACAGCCTCGTGGGTACGCACACGCGCGATGCCACCGGGCACAGGCCACAACGCACAAGCGCATGTGTGTGTGATCAGCTCCCCCCCTTCCTTGCCCAGCTGCTGCGTGGGTCTCTATGTGAGCGAGAGGAACCCCCCCCCCCCCGCCTTCCGAAGGTGCCTCCTCGATAGCCTTCGGGATGCCTCGGAGCGCAGACTGCCGGTCCCCCCCGCCGGGGGGGGGAGGAGAGAGGAGGGGGTCTGCCGGAGGGCCATCCCCGGACAGATGAGAAGGGGCTGGCACATTGGCGAGCCGCGCACAAGAGGAGGGACCAGCGCTGGGCCGGTGCGCACTGCCCCCCGGGCGCTTGGAGAGCGAGAGAGCGAGAGGCGCAGCGCCCTCCCTGCCGCCCGGCCGCCTTCCTTCTCCGCAGCCGGCGATCCGCGGCTCAGGAACTGTCAGCGCAGCCTGGGCGCCTGCTCTGCCCCGGAGCCTTGCTGACAGCCGAGCGCCCCTTCCGCGCCTCGCCGGGCTCTAGCGCAGCCGACCCCCGGGCGCGCCATCGCCACTTGGGCCCCCGGAGCAGCCGCCGCAAGACCGGCGCTCCCCTCGCTCTCCCGGCCCCGATCTCCTTCCACAGCGGCGGCGGCGGCGGCTCTCGAGGGCATGGGCTGGCCGCGCCGAGGGAGCCCCTTGCCCTGACCGAGCCGCGTCGGGGAGGCAAGTGCCGCGTGGGGAGCTGGGCGCGGAGAGACGCGCGAGGAAGAAGAGGCAGCCGAAGCAACCGGCGAGCTTAACGCAAAGCGAAAGAAGGGAGGCTGAGAAGCAGAGCCTCCCCCCGTCCCGGGAACCGGCCAAGATCCAGCGCCGGGGGAAACCGCTCAGGATGAATCTCTTCTCGTCCATATTCAGCTATTTGTAAGTAACTGCTGATTATTTGGACTTTCCCGGCTTTCCCTTGCCCTCCCCAAAAAACAACAACCACCCCAACAGTCTCCCTTGATTTTCCATCTTTATTTCTGCTCCATTTCAAAAGCGAAATCACCTCACCATCTACTTTGTTTTTTCCCCCTTTCCTCCGCTTTCCCATCATTCTAGGCTACTGCACTTGTTTGCTTTCTGCTTGCAGGCACAGGTAAGGAAACTGTTTTATTACTTTTTATCCTTTAAGACATTATTTGGTGCGGCTTGAAGCTCATAGCCAAATCTTTTCCAAGCATCTTTTTTTAAAAAAACGGAAAGCGGTTATAAGAAAAAGAAAAAGTTTAGATAAGGAGTTTGATGGGAAGCGTTTGATGGAGCAACCGAAACACGCAGCAGAACGTTAAATATAACATGTTTGATAAAATTAAACGACAGGAGGTTGGTTAAAGTGAAAGTAGATGCAAGCTGGGTTCAAAAATTGAAATCGCAGACATGAGAAAAGCATGCAAAATCCAAGGCAAGAAATAGATGCTGATTAATTTAAAATGTACTGCAGTGTTTAGCCAGACATTGTGCAAGTGTGTGGATGGATGGATAGATAGGTAGTTATTGTTTGCTGAAATTGCAAGCACCTTTGCTCCGTTGCTATGATTTTCAAAAGTTTAATAATATTTAAGGGATGGAAATTCTAACCATTATTAACTCTAGCTTGCTGGTCATCAGTAGTGCTGCTAATATATTAAACAACACAGTCTGATACTGTGGGATCTATAACCCTGCTGGTGCAGTATTGATTGCAAATCCAGAGAGCCAAAGACAAATGCAATTTCCCCTAAGAAAGAGAGTGAAGGGGAGAGAGAGAGAGAGAGAGAGAGAGAGAGAGAGAAGGAGAGAGAGAGAGAGATAACAGGTGTAAGGTTCCAAGTTAAAATTGCAAGGATCTCTTGATTTTGTAAGTCGGAGTAACAAAGATCACTCTGAATGTGAAGGAGGAACATGGGAGTTGTGTAAAAAAAAGCTACATTGTAATATTTTGGGGGCGTCAGATGGAAATCAAAGAGTGATGTGGGTGTCCACATGGTCCCCTCATCAGAGCTGGCAAAAGAATCCAGAGATATTATCAAAAGAACCTTCTGTAGGAAACACACACACAGAGACACAAAGGAAAGGAAAGGAAAATTGTCAAGGGAAGACTTCTATAAACTCCAGCTTTGAGGGGGAGGTTACTTTTCCCATTTGCATGGAATAACCTTAGCATTTGACATGGGCAGCGGGTGGGGTGGGGGGAAAAGAGTCGGGGGTTACTTCGTACACTGCCACCCCATGAGGTTGAAAGGAACAAATCTCCTCAACATTTGCTCAGAATACGTCTTTATAAATGTCAGGGGCAAACTAAACCCCTTCAGACTTAAAAGAGGAATCGGAGATGTGGAGGGGGTGGAAGAATTCTCCTAAGACCAGGCTGTGAGAGAGAGGAGAGAAACAGATCTGAGCAGTGGCAATATCATTGTACAACTGAAGCTACACATAGCCGCTCCCCGCCCCCCCCCCCCCCGCCAAACTGTTCCATAACAGAATGTACTGCTAACAGGGTTACGAGTACTTTGAATGTGTGGCTGGGGGTGGGTGGGGAGGTGGGAAACCCATAGCCAGCCTTGATGTGTATGGAAAGGCTCATAAATATTAGCTGCAAAGACAATTCCGAACTGCCTCGGCTGCTGACACAACTGATCCCTGTTTAAGGGGGATAAAATATGGCTGCTCCCCCCCCCTTCTTCTTTTGGTCACTGGTTACTCTGGTCCATAGCGCACAGGGCCCTTACAGCCCCACAAAGCAAAACTCTCAAGCAGGCCACTTGAAAGATCAGGAAAGCAAATACCAAAGACACAGAAACAAGCCCAGTAATTGAAAGCCTTGGGATGATTACCTAGCTAGAAGTCCGTCGCACTCGCGTGCATGTTGTATTGCCTGGAATGAGACGGATATGAATGATGGAGCCGGTTTGTTTTTGCTCTGGTGGTGACCTTAAAGTGATTCCTGCAGAGCCTTCCTGGGTTTGAATTGGAGCAAGCAGGATCGGGACCATGCCTACTTGAGCTCCATGGTGTTTGCGACCTGGTTTGAATCGGCACAAGTCTTTCTGAAATCTGAGGAGCTGTGCTGGTTGTAATTCTGTCCCAAGTGTTCCAGGATCACCTGTGTTTTCTTTATCCCATGCTTGATTCTCAACAATAAATGTCTAGGTAGCGGTTGCAATTTCTCATCCATGCCGGGGTTTCTTATACTGACCTATCACGAACCTGGCTCTGCACTGCACCAGCTCAGAGTGCTCTAAAAAATGCACCAGGAACATGCCGAGAGTGCCTTTCTCGGAGGAGTAGAGATTATAATGGTGTGTTGTATATTTTTCAATTTCCTAAAGGTAACTGTTCAGTCCCCACCTAATTTTACACAGCATGTGAGGGAGCAGAGCCTGGTGACCGACCAACTAAGCCGGCGACTCGTCCGGACCTATCAGCTGTACAGTCGGACCAGTGGGAAGCACGTGCAAATCCTGGACAACAAGAAAATCAATGCCATGGCGGAGGATGGAGATGCTCATGGTAAGGCTGAATATGCAGGCAGAAGGGCTGGGGGAGGGTGGTGGTGCGCGCAGCACAGTAATTAATGATTTCCGTCCTCTTTGTTAGCCAGAAATCATTACAAGTGTTCAGAAGGCAGGGGTCTTGCGATGGAAGAATGTGGCAATCAATATTTGTAATAATAGTACATTGCTTTCCCCCTGGGGATCAGGATGATAGCTCTGATTATGAGGAGGCGTGTGGGTTTTGTTTTATTTTTTTACACCTGATCTCTCTGACCACCCAGATGATGGGGTGAGTTGCATTTAAAAAACGTTTTTCTTTTGTGGTCGTGGTGAGGAGCGGAAAAGAAGAGGGATGCCCAAACTGTTTAGATTAGAAATAGCTGGTGCATTCCTGCAACATAGCTCTAGCTAGGATCTCTCTCAGTGATACAGAAACAAGGAAGCATGGAGGATGTGATTCGAAGCCCCAGAGTTTCCCAGAGTCTTCGTCAGAGATTGTCACCAACTCAGTCTCTGAGTGCAGCAAACACAGATCTGTGGGATGCATGGGAGGACCTGGCAGCAGATCCTCTTGTTCTCTAAAATAAAGGGGGTATGGCAGGGGAGCCCTGAGCAGCGTGGAAGTTTTAAATAACTTAGATCGTAAGTGTTAATTACCCTTTCAAATGCTCAAGCCACATACAAGAGGGCAAGGTGCTAGCAAAACTGTGGCTTCAATAAACTGTAAGTCTTTGAGCTCCTTTCCTTGCATATGTGAGTCACGGGACAAGGTTAGCTGACATTCTGAAAGCTCCGACTTACTTTATTTTCTGTGTGCTGGCAAAAATGGGTGCATCCTTATGTTGCACATACATATTTGTACATGCAGTATGCATCCTGCTTAGAATTCCTAGCCTTCCACATTAGATGTGATTTCTCCTTTTCACTTACATCTAAACTGCTGCAAACATTTGTTCTCTTATATAGCTTTGGGCTGACTGAAGATTTCAGAATAAACTTTAATAGTTGGGGCTAAGTGGGTTCTGCATGTACAAAGATGTATTTTTAACCTTTCAAGCAAAGCATGCCAGCCTTAAAGCAACCATGAACTGAAGGAGACGAGTTTGTTTCACAAACAAAGTTCCCCCTCCCACTTAAATGTCTTATATAAAAAGAGAGATTACTTTAGATTTAAATGACAATGTTAAGAGAGGCTAGAATGAAATGAGGGAAACAGCTTGAAAAAGAAAAGACCTCTATTAAAACATAATAAAAAGGTTAAACATTTGAAGAGCTAAGAAGCAAGCCGAGCAATGATCTAAAACAGAGAGAGAACACAAGCAGTTTTTCAGATGTAAAGTTTTAAAAGAGTTGCAAGTCTGTAAATGTTAAAATAGAGGTTCAGGATTGTTCTATATGAATCTCTGGAGAGACCCCCATGTCTGGAAGAGCTATTAAAACTCTTCTTACTTTCACCTTTTTTAACATTTCCTGAATACTTTCTCCTCTTCGCAGTCCAGTTAGGGGATCAAGTGTGCCTCGCTGCATTTTTTCTGCATCTACGTAGCCACTTTCCCTTCAAAGTTTGAGCACGAAACATAATTTTTCTGGGATAAATCTGTCACTGAAGTGAAAGAATAGAGTTGAAAATGTTAAGCTCCCCACCCCACCCCAAACAAAATCAACCTTTCGCACCATTAACATCAAATATTAAAACCTCAAGTCTTTATTTTATATTAAGTATTGAAATTGGGGGGGGGGGGAGGGCGCTGAAGATTTTTCCTTTTTAAGTGATTTATTTCTGCCAATGACCATTTTCTCTGCTGTGACATTTTTACGGCTGACTTAATGTCAGGTCCATTTTTCTCGGTTATCTGTCTTGATTGTCAATATCTTTCTCCGTTTTCTAATTAGGAGCAAAGCCCCATGCATCTTAAACCTTGGTCCACCTCTCTGAGCTCTGTTTAGCCGTCTATAATCTGGATTAAAATGGTCTTTATCTGTATGAGAAGGAAATTGTTCTGAAAGTGAATGATAATTGCTGTATTGGATTCTGGCTGTGTTGACGGCTGGCATTTGCTACTGGGACCTGGCTGCCGTACATATTTTCGTGCTGCCTGGGGCCTGGGATGCATCTTCCACTGCTGTGGCTCTTTGTAGGCCAGTTGTACTTAACTCTTTGCCCTTCCTGCCCCACTGTGAATCCACGTCTCTGCTTTCGAGCAGAGTTCCAAGCCAGCAGGGCCTGCCAAGCGACCAGCGATTCAGCGCTGGAGGCCGGTCACCAAAGCGGCTCGTGTGGCAAGGCAAAGCCCACCAAACAGACAATAAATCAGAAAGAGCCTTTGAAAAGGTGGAAAGGACAAAAAAGGGGGGGAAAGAGAGAAGCAGCAGCATGTGTTGTTCTGCCTCCGTTCAGGGCTGATTTTCTGTGTCTTTCCATCAGTCAGCAGAAGAGAGCATGGAAATTGATGCCCTTTAAACCTTTTACTGCTCTCTTGATCGACCTCCCTCGCTCGTGCCCCCCAAAGACAGATAAATAAGGGGACCTTGTCTATGTGGCTCAATGAAGAGGAGTCGGGGGTCCAATTGCTCTTTGGCAGGGGGTGGGGAGACGGGGACTTACAGATGTTAATATTTTATAGGAAGGAGAAGTGCTAAAATTAACGGGGTTGTAATGGGTCGGAAGAAGTGATGTGATGTTGTAATTCATACACAGCACAGTGTGCAGACAGGGAGGGAAGCAGCCATTCTACCAGGGCTTGGACCACCAAGGCTTGGGGCCTAGTCTAAAGGCTTAGTTTAGATAACTGTTTTCATTACTGCTGGTGAATCCCCGACTACTGACACGGTTGTTTTCTAATCTTTCCTTGTTCACGTGTGTCGAGCCATCCTCCACTATTGTTAATATTGTGGATGTTGGCCCCTGTTGAGGAAATATTGTTATTTTGCCTCAGAGAAACTGAGGAGAATAATAATGTTGTGGTGAGGTCCTGGCCTTTCACAGACAAAACATGCTGGTTGCAAGAGTTGGGACCTGAATGATCAAAAGGGCAGAAACAACTCCCCTATGAGGAAAGGTTGCTGTGTTTGAGGCTGTCCCCCCCTCCCCCCCACTACAAAAAGCCAAGTAAGTAAGGGGGCATGATCAAAGTTTGTAAAATTATGAATGGTGTGAAGAAAGTTGGGTCTGAATGGTGGGAGGTTTAGGAAAGGCAAATGGATGCATTTCTTCACACAATATATAGTTAAACTCTTGGATTTGCTACCACAATATGTGGTAATTGCCACCAACTTGGATGGCTTTTAAAACGAGACTAGACCCTTCAGCTATTAACAGAAGCTAGTCTTGATGGCTGTGTACTACAACTTCCAGTATACCTCTGAATGCCGGTCACTAGGGAACAACAGTGGGACAGGACTTTTCCCCTCATGTCCTTCTTGCAAGTTTCCCATAGGCATCTGGTCCACCACTGTGGAACACTGGGTGCAAGACCAGATGGGACTTTGACCTGATCAAACAAGGTTCAGTCTTATGTTCTTATGAGAATGAGAGCAGAACATATATCTGGTGCTGAATATGTAATAGGATGAATTTCTGTGGGAAATAGTATGGATCCACTGGTGTTTCTATGATCCATAACTCTCTTTATTGAAGTCAAATATCCAGGGCCTGTTACTTTAGGATTCTGACCATCCAAATCTAGTTTTCCTTTTGCCCATCTACGCAGTAATATTTGTTGGGTGCTTTGTACCCCAATTATTATTATTATTCTTTAGAAGACATCTGAAGGCATCCCTGTATAGGAAAGGTTTTTTTAATAATGTTTAATGTTTTATTATATTTTTATATACATTGGAAGCTGCACAGAGTGGCTGGGGCAACCCAGTCATATGGGCGGGGTACAAATTATCATCATCTTCACCAGAGGAAGAGACTGTTTCTCTTCATAATCCATCCCAGGTTTGCTCCAGGCCCACTGCTTTGCCAAATGAGTGTTGTGTGTGTGTGGTGATGGAGGAGTGAGCTGTAGGTTCGTGTGAAATAACATACCCCAGAAAAGCATCTTAACCAGCCCCTAGCAATATACATAAATGCAGCTTCCATTAGCTCAGGCATACTAGGTTTGAGACCATTGATTTATTCTTAATTTGTTACTGTTGCGTCTTGGATTTTATTGCTCCTGTTTATTTAGCTCTAACAAAGTGTCAGTCACTGGGCAGGCCATAGAACAAGCCTTGTAAGCCAACTCTGGGTTGAAAGATATGGTGGAAATCAAATAAATAAATAAATAAGCAAGTGATACAGTTCCTGCCTTCCAAGCTTTGTAAAATCGATAGGACAAAAGGGAGAGGGGCAGAGCTTGAGAAAGGTTTCAAGTTGTCCTCATGAATGGCTAAAAAGAGAAAGCATTGTGGAGTGTAGTGGCCTTTTAAGCACTGGCTTCATGGCCACAGCACTGAAGGATTTCCCATGGTCCTATTCAGATTGGAAATACCTCGCCCCCTTGCCCTGCCTGAGGAAGCCAGATCACAAGGAAAAAATGAGAGGTTTGTGCACAGCCAAAGTCAAGGGCCAAAAAGCCTTGTAAAGGTCAAAGGGCAAGGTATAAGTGAAATAGAAAAGTCTACTCCTGCAAATGAACTGCAACTGCTTCTGAAGTGTCTCTCTTCCCATGAAGAAGGATATTTAAAAAGCATCTTTTGATGCTTTTTCATACAGTGCTTATAGCACATCAAATGTAGAGTAGCTGCTTGATTGTTGCAAGGGATTTAAACATCTTACTTCAAAAAACCTCCCATTTCAGGCACATCACAATTTCCTAACTTTCAGATCATCGCAATACAGTATATTATTGCTGGTGTAAAAAGGCCATTGCGTTTTGAAGTGATGCTGTCTGGAACATGGCAGTGCTACAATTGGCTATTAAGCCCAGCATCACTGATAATGAGTGAGACAGTCTGGACCCAAAATGTCCCTCAACCAAACCTCAGGCAGCTGGTGACCCAAACCCTAGTGGAGGCTTGCATAAGAGCTAAGCTGGTTACAAACTGGGAAAATGATCCTCATCAGTTTGCTTGCCCACATCGGACCAGACAGCAAGTCTATATGTTTTTGCCCATTTTCACAACTTGAATAGTTTCTTTGACCCTTTCCTGTGTCTGTAGGTCAGATGAGAAACCTTCATTAGCTAAAATTCGTTCTTCTGTTTAAAACTTTCTCACTTCCTTTTTCTCTCCCACATTAGCAATATTCACATGTGATACATTCCAGATGAAAAATGTTGGTGTTAGGGAAGATCCACATGTTGTCATTGCAGACAGTTTCCTAAGTCTCCCCAATTCCCTCAGCCAGGCTGACTCCTAATATTGGAGCCACTCTTGGGAAAACATGGGTTAAAATGACTGGGGGAAGGTGGAACATTTGCAGGAGAGAATTAGAGGAGGGTAAGCACCCCCTGCCAGTTCTCCTCTATACCCTCCCTATATTAGCATTATGTAAACCCATGCAAAGTTTGAAATCCTGTGGGTTTTTTCCTACTGGGAAGTTCCACCCTTAGTGTCACAGGTGAATATATCCCTTGGTTTGAGGATTTAGCTGGCATTTCTACTTGATGTCCTGAGTCTTGACAGTTTTGCTTCTTTTGGAAGCACCTTCTCTTTTTGGTAAACTGAATGCTCCACTTCTTTTATAATGAGGTGCTATCATCCAGCCTTTCTAGGTGTTTGTGTTATGGAAATGTGCTGTAAAAACTATCATCTGATTGGTTGAGCACAAGAAGCAGAACAGGAGAAGTTGTGTTTATGTTTTGCCTAATGATTAGAACAAACTCATTCGAGTTTTGCATTGGGGGTGGGTGAATCATTCAGCAGCAAAGGTGATGCAGGAAAGCTGCTTTTTCTCAGCAAATTTCAAGGTCTCTTTTGATCCTTCCTCTGACTGATTAGAGTTTTCAGCTTTGTATTTGTGGATATGAGGCATGAATACCACAGACCACATATAGCTTGACGATGCATAAGGTTTGTGTATGAAACTCAGGATCACTTTTTCTTCAGAAACCCTTGTCAGACATAGTAGGTCCCAGACTCTAGAATTTGGGGAAAAGGCACTGACTCATTATTTACTAGAAGGATTCCCTTACCCCCTGTGTGCCTACTGGACCACTTCAATCTATGGAACTGGCCATTTTACAAGCGCCAAACAGTGTTCGCTACATGCTTGCAAGTAATCAATCTTTCAGATAGGCAGCACCCACTCTTTAGAAGTCCCTATTCATTAATATTAGGCAGGCACCTTTGTGGTATTGGTTTTACCAGGCATGTAATTTTGACACACAATTTTATTATGTACAATTGTTTAAAAATTGCAGGTTTCGTTTGTATATAAAAATTACGTTAACTTTTTCTTAATGTTTGCTTTTATTGATTTTTATTTCAAATGAATATTTTAGATTTTTCTTTGCAAGCCCCTTAGAGGCCTTCTATTGAGTAAATTGGACATAAACATCAATTGACAAACAAACAAATATTCCCTGCACTGCCACAGCAGCAGCAAATACATGCTGCAGCTGGAGATTTGAGACAGAGGTTTGTTGAGTCCAGTTGAGACCCACAGGGTTCTCAGTGTCTCCTACAGTATGCCAATCCTTCCAATATAACTGCATAACCGAATCACTTCCATTGTTAAGTCTGATCAACTTGTTGTGACGGCTAAAACCATTTTACTTTGCTCTGCGATAGGGGCAGGAAACATGCAGCCCTCCAGTTATTGCTGGACTACAACTCCCATCATACCTGACCGTTGGCCATGCTTGCTGAGACTAATGGAACATAACAACACAGGGGTACAGGTTCCCTGCCCCCGCTCTAGAACATCTCATTGCTCCCTCCCAGATTCCCAAGTACCAAGCTACCATCATTAAAGCTTCTGGCCCATTCTGCAGATAGACTCCTGCAGATATATTGGTTTCAAAACTATCCATGATGGTGGCAGGTGCATTAAATCTGGGCCTGCCTTGGTAGCAGAGAAAGGAGGAGCAGAGTCTCTTTCTAAGAGCAAAGGGGACATGTGAGGGATTGGACCCCTTCCCTCTCCAGTGCCGTGTCAAAAAAATTTCACTATAATGCTTTCCGTGCAGCAAAATGAGCCTAGGACTGCCTGTAACCTGTCCTGTTCACAATAGGTGATGGGATGAGATGGTCCTAGACTGGACTTCCCTCCTGTCTCTCTGTGTGTGAGTGAAACATGTGTGAAATTGAGAATCACAAACAAGAACCATTTTGCCTGTACCCAAGACATGGTGAATTCCATAATGTGACATTGCTAGAGGAATAAAGTCTAACTTATCATAACTGGCACTGCAACAGCAATGGGAGACAAGTACTGATGATGTATTGAGCATCATCAAGAGTAATGACTACCTGGGTTCTGGCTTGTGAGCAAACCTTCCCTTTAAAGTCATAAAGAGCAAAACCAGTTTTGGTGCCTGGGACACTCTGAATTCCCATTCAACTGACCAAAAATGCTGCACAGTACAGAAATGTTGCTCTGTTTCCTCTCTTTCATGTACAATGACAGAGAAGGGCTGGAATGGGTGAGATGGCCCTTTGGGGCTGGCTGGCTCCATCTCTTTGGGGTTCCTGCAGCGGCAAGAAGAAGGGGACGAGCCATTGATCTGTGATTTGCATAGCTGCTTTGAAAGTTAATCAATGCCTCCATTAAAAAAACTGAGACTAAATCAATACGCCCTCTCAACTCTCGCAAAGGTGAAATGCATTAAGGGGCTGCCCTTACCCTTCCTGGCTTCCTCTACCAGCTGCAAAGTCAGCATCAGTGCAGAGAGACAGAGAAAGGACTTAAACTGATCATATGGAGCTTCCTGACCTACACAGAAAAGAGATACAAGAAGAGCAAGGGGACCAAGTATAAAAATACCAAATTAGAAACTAATTTTCCTGCTGCTACTGCCCAAATCATTGTGTGTCCTTTTAAAGTAGGATGATTTAAAGCAATTACTGGCCCGGGCTTTATATTAACCTTGTGTCCTGTAGCCTTTCTGTGTTGTGTGCCCAGTTATTTCTCTATAATGAGAGGACAAGAGATCTTTTGCTCAAAACAGCAACTGGAAGTGCATTGGTTTCAGAAATGGAAGTATATAAGACATTCCATCCAGCGCTGTAAGACTTGCAATAGCCATCATGCATGGCCGACTCTTGAAAATAGGTCTGATTCTGTCTATTGCTTGAATTTAAGATGTCCGTTTCCTGAAGAAACAGGACTGCTGAAACACCTGCTGAAAACTTTTCTATTCCACCAGGCCTACGCAGGCAATTAAGAATACATGTCCCACAATGGTCTATTGATGTTTGTTTTTAATTTCCTTTTGTTTTTAACTAGTTTTTAACTTTCTAAGATTTTATTGTCTGGTTTTATGTTTTTATATCGTTGTAAGCAATTGTGATATATTTTTTATCATACAGCGGTATAGAAATATTTTTTATAAATAAATAATAAGTAAGAAAGAGATTTTGCAACCTTTGAATGGAAGCACCATTGTTTGTTTGTTGCTGCTACTATGGGTGAACAATCAGGGAGCCACCCAGTACATGTAGTGACTGTGTACACCACATTTTTTCCAGGCTTTTCCACTGATTTTGATGGCAGTGGCAGCAAACAGAAAAGAAACTTAAAATAGACACAGCACTTGGGTGAGGAGAGCCTAGTTCCCTGATGGTGGGAGGGATGCAAATCACCTCCTACCCTAGCCATTGAATCAATCATTTGATGAGAGGAGAGGAGGCAATAGCTCTCTTCCTCAGTTGATGTGCAGGGAGGTGAGAGGGATGTGTGTTTGTGTGTGTGTGTTTAAAAGACAGGGTATGGGGTACTAGATATGCCCACTTTTGGCCACACCCATCACTAGCAGGTCGCTTTTGAAGGGTTGGCCAAGGTTGACTGTGACACTTGGTCTTATAATTAGTTCACCCTGATCCTTCTCTTAGGGGAGGGCCATAGCTCAGTGCTAGAGCATCTGCTTTGCATGTAGAAGGTCCCAAGTTCCATCCCCGGCATCTCCAGTTAGAACTGGGACCATCCACTGTCTGGCAGAAAAGTATTGTAGACAATACTGAGCTATATGGACCAATAGTCTGACTTGATAGAAGGCAGCTTCCTATGTATTACCGTAACAAATGCTAAAAGGAGGGACACAGCATCCCTTCCCTTTGGTTGCATGGTCCATCCTGCCTAAGAAAATGCTAATTCGAGAAGACAAATTGTCCTCTTGGAGTGCTGTATGTGGTGCCCATCTTGTAATATTCATGTGACTCATTTTCTTGCCATCTTCTCCCACTCCAGCTAAGCTCATTGTGGAGACCGACACATTTGGGAGCAGAGTAAGAATCAAGGGGGCTGAGACAGGCTTCTATATCTGCATGAACAAGAAAGGAAAGCTGATTGGCAAGGTAAGGGGGCTTCGGGGTAGGAATTGCTTGCTGTGCAACAAGGGGAGGAGCAGGACAGTCTTCTCAGGAACAAAATATGGGAATGGAGGGGCAAAAGGGCCTACAACTGAAGCTGGAAGCGAGCTTGTTCACACGCATTCGCTGATGCTGTATTTCATGTGGATACTGCTGTGGTTAGTCAGAACCACACAATTCAAGCAAATATCTAAAGATGAGGAGCAGTAGAGGTTGGTCCATTAGAGCAGCGCCACTCCAGCCTCAGCCTACCCTCAATGACAAAAACATCCCAAGACTGAAAATCTGCTGCATCAACTCTTCTCCATCATTAATATGCTGGGCAAGTATCTGGAGGCCCTCTTTCGCATGGCCAGAAGTAGCAGACAATTTAAAAGGCTTGAACATACACACACACTAACCTCTTGCTATGGGAGGTATCAGATGGCTTTTCTCTCAAGTTATGTCTCCATTGGAGGGGAAGTCTCATTTCCCCAACACTCAAGCAGCAACCCTGTATTGCTGAGAAACACGATGCCACCTACTGCCTCCATTCCTCTTCAGGTTACAATGTACAGGGTTGTTGTGAGACTATCACAGGCACCTATTTGATAGAGCCTGTGACATTCATAGAATCATATATTCATTGGGTTGGGGAGGGGGCAGTCTTTTAGACAACCCCCTAGTCAATTACATATGCAGGAAATACATTAGATTACATACATTTTCTATCTATCATCTATCTATCTATCATCTATCTATCTATCTATCTCATCTATCTATCATCTATCTATCTTTATCATCTATATCTATCTATCTATCTATCTATCTATCTATCTATCTATCTATCATCTGTCTATCTATTCATTAGTGTTAGAGCATCCCCAGCAAATGGCTGTCCAGTTTCGGACAGAAGGTTTCTAGGAAGGAAAAGTTGGGCAACTCCCTTTGTGATTCGTTCCAATCAGGAAGTGTTCCTACCACTAAGACAATTTTCCCTAAAATCTGCCATCCCACAACTTAAGCCCATTTCTGATAACAAAAGTCTCGCCTTCCTCTCCCTCCTCTCCTATTAACATGCACAAGTTTGGGATGCTCATAACTGTTCACCAAAACACAACCACCATGCAAATAATAAATGAAAATACCAAAGCAATATACTATATAAAAAACAATATACTATCCAAAAACCAGTTAGGATCTGATGATTTGCTGTGGTAACCTGCTCTGTATTTGTATGGTTTACCACTTATGCACATGCAGTGTTGCTGTTTCATATTAAATGCATCACACCCTTTGATCAATTAAAAAAAGCAGAATACACTAAACCAGATGAAAACCCAAGAATTGGCCTAGAAGGTCTCCTCTCCACTCCCTATAAATACAGCTATCCTCAAGCATCTCCTTTATCTGACACCTACTTGTCAAATAAACTGTTTCACTGTTCAAAGATGCTAGCCAGGGGACATTTTCTCCCGCTGCAAAGAAAGAAAACAAATTGTCCAAGCCCTAATCAAGCATACTATGGAGTAAGATCCATTGAACTTGGCGACTCCTGAATAAACATATTTAGGATGGCACTGTTGGTCTTCTTTGTAACATGGTGTTTGGGGAGTTTTTGCTTTCAGAAAAAGCATTTCAATATGCTGTAATAAGAAATGATACAGTTCAGGAAAAGCTTTACCAGCTGATTTTGCTGATGTGTGTAAACTGGCCCTGAGCACAGATCTAAGACTTCTTGGAAGCAGAACTTTGAATGTGTTTGCTACCAAGAGTGAGAGAGAAAAAAGCATGATTGAATTAGACTTTACAGCGGAGGTAGGGGGCCTTTTTAAACTCAAGGGTCACATGCTTGAGGAACATGCTCAGGGGCTGCAAACTAGTAGTAACACCCCTTTTCTTATTCTGCTGCCCACGCCTATTCCTTTCTCCCCCCTCTCTTCTCTTATTACCCAACACAAAAACACAGTGGGCTGTTCATTGGAGAAGTGCTTGCTCTCTTCTTCCACCAGTGACTTCCTTGGCTTCCATGCTGGGGGCTAAGAAAGCAGCTTGCTTCTCTCAGGGTCCAGCACTGAAACATTGTTCTCTATCACCCCACAATATACTGTAGCCTTGGCTTTACCCTTAAAGAATGCCCATATGAAGCAACTCCACTTTTCTAGCACCTATCTAAGAACATAAGATGAGTCCAGCATCCTGTTCTCACAGCATCCAACCAGATGCCAATGGGAAGCCTGCAAGCCAGACATGAATGAGTGCCCACCTGGGATTACTAGCAGCTGGTATTCAGAGGCATCTAGAAAAACGCTTATTTTTTTGGCCCATCAGCATTTGCAAAAATAGTTCTAGTTCTACCAAAACAGTCCACAAAAGCCCTAGTGTCCTAGCTGAAGAATATACCGTACATTGTTCATTAAATTCTGTTCATTGCACTATAGTGCAGAATTTCAAATCTTGGGAAGAACTGCACACACACACACATACATATATATTTAAATTTCCCCTTGGAATAAGCCAAGCCACAAAGGCAGAGAATGGCTGTAGCTCAGTGGTAGTGTGCACACTTTACATGAAAATGGTCCCTCTTAGGCTCAGTCTTCAGAAAGGGCTGTGAAAGACCCCTCTCTGAAACCCTGGAGAGACGCTGCCAATCAATGTAAACACAATGTTGAGCTATACCAGGCTTCCTCAAACTCAGCCCCCCAGATGTTTTGAAACTACAATCCCCATCATCCTTGACCACTGGTCATGCTAGCTAGGGATCATGGGAGTTGAAGGCTAAAAACATCTGGAGGGCCGAGTTTGAGGAAGCCTGAGCTATACAGAGCAATAGCCCAACTCTGTTTAAGGTGATTTCCTATGCTCCTTCCTGCATAAGCACTTACTTTGCTTTGCCAGCAGTGACCTTGCAGTTTCTCCTCTCTGCAGAATTACTTGCTCAGCCATGGATAATTAACCATATGACCTTCCAACAGCTTAGCTTTCCTCAACCTAGACGTCCTCTTCTTCCTTTTACTTTTGTCCTGGGTGCTGCTTGTGTGATCTGTTCCTGATTAGAATCAATCAGGGGACAGGTGGCTGCATTGCTTGCATTCCAATAAGTATTTGAGTGCTTGTTGCCCTTGCCTCATTTCTCAGGTACAGTGGTACCTCGGGTTACAATCACTTCGGGTTACAGACTCCACTAACCTGGAAGTAGTACCTCGGGTTAAGAACTTTGCCCCAGGATGAGAACAGAAATCGTGCGGTGGCAGTGAGAGGCCCCATTAGCTAAAGTGGTACCTCAGGTTAAGAACGGACCTCTGGTTCATAACCAGAGGTACCACTGTATTGACTAGGTTGGTACTTGATGGGTTGACTAGCTATATATCTTCTATCAGCCAACAATGTCAACCAATCCTAGCGTGAGTGTGCTGAAGTAGGTCTGAGCATAGCTGCAGTATCCTGGAGGTGGGGCAGAGGTGGGATGGTGGGGAACATTTCCAAGTAATATTAAGCATAATCTTTGCACATAATCATCCACTCTCTTTGCTAGTGTAAGGCTGAGGACAGTAGAAATTCACAATCTAGGTGATTCCTCTTGAGTCCCCTCTGAGTTTGCCAGTTGGTGTGAAGTGTCAGGTTGGGGTTGAATGTGAGCCACCAAACAATCCTATATGCATCCCTCATGAGTTGCTTTGCATTCAAACAAAGCAATCCTTAGCAACATCCCAGGTCTGTCAAGTTTTCTCATAAGTGCTAAGGACACTTTGCACCTTCTGAAGGTGGCCTTTTCAATATAGATCTACACATTATGGCAGATCTACACATTACACTTTAGCCAGAGACAACTTCACAAACCAATACATAGCTAGAGAAAACCGTTTGATGTGAACTGTTTAGTTTGCGCCTAAGAGGTTGGATAAGGTAATATCAGATGTCCAGGGATTTATGGAAATGTGTGTTTATTGAACTGAATGTTTAGATAGCTAAACAGGAGGTATTAGTACTAGTGGTATACTAATATTAAAACCGTGGATACCCCCAGTTTTGTAATTTATATTCCTGGAGTTCCCACAAACTTTGAATTGGATGCCTTGACTGTTCTGGATAATACAAAGTACAAAATAGACTTAACTGTTTCCTTTGGTACATCATTGGGGATGTTTATTAGACAATAAGCATTCTTGGCATAATAGCACCCAGGTCAAACAGTGTTCAAAGCATGGTCAAGCACTATCACTACTTACAAAGTCCCTGCCCCCCTATTTTTAGACCAGGACAACCTGGCTCTGGTTCCATGGGGAGACTTATTGGAAAAGATGAAGGGCATCTCCATTCACTTATCTCCTATTGTTCCCACCTGCAGAGCAACGGCAAAGGCAAGGACTGTGTCTTCACCGAGATTGTGCTGGAGAACAACTACACAGCATTGCAGAACGCAAAGTACGAAGGGTGGTACATGGCCTTCACCCGCAAGGGGCGTCCCCGCAAGGGCTCCAAGACTCGCCAGCATCAGCGTGAGGTGCACTTCATGAAGCGGCTACCCAAGGGCCACCAAACGACAGAGCCTCACAGACGCTTCGAATTTCTCAATTACCCTTTCAACCGGAGGAGTAAAAGGACTCGGAACTCCAGCCCCAAGCCCACCCCCTGACCCACCACCCTCCTTAGTGCCACTTGGGTCCACCCTCCTTTCCCTTTTTTTGTTGGAGGACATTCTGTAGAGACTTTTAACTGATGGACAATGCCTAGAGACTTAACCTGTGATGATAATTAAAACGAGGGTGGAAGAAGAGGGGGAAACCAAACTTGATCTAGTTGTTTATAATTGTTTGTTTTGTGTTTTTTAAAAAACAAAAAAGAGGCTCTATTTTTGTATTCCAACTTTACTGCTTTTTTAAGAAAAAGCACTGTAACGTTAAAAGACTTGTGAAGGGTTGCTCTTCACTTAAGAAACATTTTGAGTCCATGGGGGGCGTGTTATGTTTTAATAGACTGTTAAAAAAAAAAAGTGGGGTGGGGGTGGGTAGGAGGTAGTTGATCTAGGGGTAAGCATAGAACCTGCCCTCTTCAATCAAATAATAAATTTTGGGACCAAATTTCTACCTCAGATAAAACAAACGTAATAGAAACACAACCCATCCAGAGCTTTTGTGCAAGTTCCATTTATTTTGGTGGGTCTGTGTGGATGTTCCTGGTACCTGCAGACTGTGGCCTTTCTCAGAGTCAATTGAGTGCAAGTCCCTTTGTAACCAGAGAGAGACTTGCAGGCACCAACAGGGTGGGATGTGAAGTCACTGTTTCCATTTCTGAATGAGAGAGCGAGAGCAGAATCCCCAAGGAAGAATGAATGAACGCCACCACAGAGGTGGTGCTGAGATGAGGGCCGCTAGTTTTGCTTTGTATGTTCTATCCAAGCTGATCATGTCTCCAGAGGTCTGCATTTTTATTATTATTCTGTAGACCATTTTTTTTTTGTATTTGTTATGACAATAAAGTGCCACTGAGTTCAAATGTTATATATTTCCCCATTACACCCGTTTCATCCAAGGTGCTTCTTGTCTCAAGTTTCCCAATGAGACTGAACTGGGATCTCACTCATGTTATAGGCATGGAGGATGGCTGGGCCCCTAAAAAGCCAAAAGGAAAATAAGAAAGGAAGCCTTGCTCCCACTAAACTGGTGTTAGCAATTTGAACCTCTCCTCAGCCCATATCTGACTCCTCACAAATGTTGCCTGGCCCCTCACTTGCCAACCTTGATAAGAGCTTGCAGCCTTGCTTGCAGATTCCCTCTTTGGCCAAGAAACCCTTGAGAATCTTATACCAGGGCTGTGTAACAGGTTGGTGCGTGGTCGATCCTGGTTGATCTTGGGACCCTCATCAAATTACCCTCCAAAAAAACTTTGTAACAACTGCCAGTTTTTTTTTATAGTGGGAGTAGATCAGTCTCTTGGAATTTGGACAGCCCTGTCCTATACTGATGGGGGTTTCTGTGTACGAGATGCTGATTTTGGCCTTTAATCGCCACAGAAAATATTGCTTGCCTTACTGCCTGTGTCCCAGTTTATTTCTCTGCAGGGAGGCTAGATTAGATCCAGCTACGCAAGCCTTGAATGGGCTGCTGAATGGTGGCATCTTTTGTGTAATCAGGAACTTCAGAAGGCTTAACTAATACTTTTAAGGGTGAGGAGGGAGGGAGAGATGCTGAGTAGGACGTTTGGTTTGAAAGGGGTACTACTTTGCAAAGGATTATTTAAAATAACAACAAAAGAAAAGATACTTTTGAAAACTTCAGTGTGTGGAAGCTATGAGCTGGCTTGTTGTCACAGCACATCTTTCTTGTGGGGTAGTTTGTCTCCTTGAGGGATTTTTTTTTAGAAAAATTGTTACTGTGTACAAATTGAATATGAAATGATCTGAAATATTTATTTAATATGTGCATTAAATTTTTCTACTAGTATAAATGAGGTGTGCTCTCTCTGGCTGTGTGATTTCTGGCAGGGCTAGGAATCTTCTTTTTTTTTGGGTGGTGCTGGAGGAAGACAAAGGATTGGGAGGGGGAAATTTGCAAACACCAGAGGTGAGAAAAAACTGGGTTGCAAATCCTTTAAGGGTTGGCACCTGGCTTTGGCTCTCTGGGGACAGGTCATCACAACAGCTGCTTGTGTTTCTTGTGGACATTTTAACAATGTAACTAATTGTCGCCTTTGAAAAGTCTTGGAATGGGAGTATTTTTTTCAAAGCTTGTGGTGGTGTCCAGATTCTTAACAGCTTGGGAAGGGCAGCTAGTATGGCTACAGGAAACTTTGAAATGCTGGCTTAAATTATCAATACTCTGGAAATTGAATTAAAAGCATTTTGGTAGCTAAAAGCCAGAAGCACCCCTCCCCCCCAAAAGGAGAGGATGACACGCTTACTACAAACACTCATTTAAATTGAAATCATCATCATCATCATTACTACTACTACTACTACTACTACTACTACTACTACTACAAATACATACACAGCATTAGGATGCAATCCTTTGCCCACTTACTTGGGAGCCAGTCTCGTTGAACTTAAGGAGTTTGGCTTTTAAGGAGACATGCACAGGACTATACTATGTTTTAGGAGCTAATAAATATTGTGATATAATAATAATAGTAATAATAAAATTTATGACGGTCCCAGACCAGATTCACATACCGTACTAAGCGAACATAAAACACAATAGGATTAAGTTTAAATTAACAATCGAATATGACAATAAACAATACGAATATGACAGCCATTGGAAATGTGGTTTACGTCTTAGTCTCTAAAATATTATCTAGAGTTTGCATCTGAGGCCTTAGTCTTTGTAACAGCACAATGAACTTGTGGCATTCACTGCTGCAATACGTGGTGACGGTCACTAGCTTGGATGGGGACTACACACACCAGTGTAGAGGGGCCCATTGACCATTTTGCATGCTCTCCAAATCAGACCACCTCCCGGAGGATAGGGTGTGCAGATGTTGCTGCTGCTTCCTGTTCCTTGTACTGCTTGTTCACTTAGAAAGGGCAGGTGAACTGGCAGAAACAGCAAGGAACAGAAGCAGCCACAAGGCATGAAAGATCCCCTGCAAGGGAAATACATTTGAAAATGGGATGGGAGGCAGGAGTTGGTGAGCTTCAGTTTGAGAGTGTATGTCTTGAGAGGGTGACATGCTCCTAATTGGGAAAGAGTTCTGGGGGAGAATCTTATGCACATTGGTCTGTAGAATGTTTGGGGCTGGGGAGGTTGGAAGGTTTCCTTCTCCCCCCCTTTTTTTTAATAAGAAAAGCCTGAGGATGAAGATGCTGCAAGCGCAACCCAGGCATCTTTTCGAACTCAGGCCTAACTATTCTCACTGGCTCGGTTTCCAGCTTAGAAGCAGAGAGGACATCCCTGTGATTCACTCTGGAATTGCCCTACAGCAGTGACTGGGAACCTGTGGCCTTCCAGATGTTGCTGATTTACAACCCCCCATCATCCCTGGTCACTTGCCATGCTGTATAGGGTTGATGAACACTAGAGTCCAGCAACATCTGGAAGCCCCAGCTCCCCCCCCCCGCTCTACAGGCATCTACAGGAATCTGGACTACCAGCAGAAACGAGAAGAGGAGCCCAGAATTATGTAACTGGTATAGTCAAGGCTTCTGCAACTGGATATCCAGTTTTTCACAAAAGGAAGAAATTGGAGCTCCCTTCCGTATAACTTCAAGTTTTATGGGCAGTTCAAACCATTCTGTTTGGGAGGGCAAAGCTGATAACCATTTAACATGGGCCCTTCTTGCATCAGGATAACCCATGGTGTGGGGGATGTGGCAGTTTGCTAGGTATAATTAATAGCTTCCTTGCAAAGCGTTTCTTTGATGAAAAGGCAACACCCCCAAGAAGTCTGTCATTATATAATGGCCAAAGTCCCCTGTACAATTAGTATTAGCAAAACCTAGCTAGGCTGTGGCCTCTGTTACAGAACCTTTATTGAACACCCTTCCTTATTGATTTGTATAAATTCCCTATGTGGTTGCAGAATTGCTTGTACTTGAGTGGATACTAAGGTTTCTAGATCAAAGAGTGAGTTGTGCACGAGTTGGAAATAAGGGAAACTCACCCTTACAGACTGTGGGGCTGTGATGATCCTGAATAGGAGGGAGAGCTCTGCACCAGACTGACCTCTAAGTTCATAGTATTATTTGTTGTCTCTTTGGTGTATTATATCCACAGTTTATTTTGGGATAAATTACAGGGCGATCCTTAATGCGCCTGTTCAGCAGTAAATTCCATTCAGTTCAACAGGAATAACTTCCAGGTAAATGTTTCCATTCTGGGTAGCAGCTATCATCTGGAATAAATGCTTCTATAAGCTCTTTCTACCTCTTCATTACTTATGTGATTTACCCAGCTGCTATCCTATATATCCACTTACTTATTTGTACGCCCCACTGTACTCAGAGTAGACAGAGAATCACACTACTCCATAACTTTTAGGATGTGCTCTCAGGAATATGAGCCATTGACTCATATTCTCCAACCTTCCTCCTAATTGTGGTTCAATAAAGTGCAATGTTCTCTGCCGAAATTAGTGCACATTCAGAAATCACTGTAGATTTCATATATGTAAGGGGCAGGGGGGGGTCATACTACTTTTATGATTAGGAATCTAGTTAAGACATGTAATGATTTCAAGTGATTTCCATAAAATAGTCAATGTTTCAAGGTTATCTGGTTTCTCCTAGCCCAGTCTCTTTACAAAAAGCTCTTGATTCTTTGAATACTCCCTTCCTGCTGATGGAAAATATCCTGTCTGATCTCCCTTTTTGGCACCTTGTCCATCATTCAATTGATTATAGCCATGCAGCTCTGAACCAAGCTAAGATGCACAGTTCCACCAACCTATGTTGAAGTGCAGGAGTATACAAGCTTCACAGTTACACAGAGCTCTTTGTCAGGCAAAATGAAAAGGAAGCTGAAACCATGGGATAGAATGGAACAGGCCATGATGCCAGGGCCCCGCGTCAAAGATAGAAGCTGCTTCTGCTGCTTGGATGCCCTCTGGAATGCCTCAACTCTACAAGGGTGGCTCCAGCGTGCTTGTTTATTGCACAGGGCTCAGCTTTCAAACATCTTTCCTCCATGCCTTGTG